GTCCTCTCTTCTTTTCCGCACTTCATTTCTTGGCATCTTAATTCTCATCCTGAACATATTCTGCTGACCATGCCTGAGCTAATAATCCTGAGAAGGACTGAAAGAAGCAGCTAGAAAATTTGAACAGGAAGAACATTTTGGAACACCCATTTCAGTGTTTGGAAGGTAGCAGAAAGTTAAGGAAGAATAACAACCTATGGATTTTAGACAGCAGTGATCATCTGACCCAGACTCTCAAAGTGTTAGTCTGGGATTACTTGTTAGACTGTTTAGAGATTATCGTCCTGTTATTCTCATCTTTTACAAAATGTGGGAATTGTGGCAGGAGATTCTCCAGAAAGACAGCATCAGTCACTGCAGACCTCACTTACAAATACAAGACAATACAGCAAAATCTGCTACGTGAATCTGGCCTCTGACTACTGAGAATTAGTGATTGTAGCTAGAACACACCAATACCTTACCCTGTGTTAAAACAGCTTCTTGCTGCATTTGCTGTCATGAAAGTATGCTTCCTTCTATTACAGCAGTCCTCAGCTGCTGCCCTGACCCTCAGGTGGTGGCCATCGCTGGGCTGACTTGCAGCAGGTTGCTGGTGCTATAGGTCTGGCCAAAGAACTGGCTCTACGCAGAGGGAGTCTTGGAACGCAGCCTGCTTTGGCATGCCCTGCCCTTTGCTGCACAACCTACGATGTTGCTGTAGCCGGAGATCTGGAATGCATCTAGAAAACACGGCTTTAATTTTCAGAAATGGTAGTGATTTGGAGAAGTTCAAGTGCTGAATGTCCAACATGGTGTACTTTCAAAGGGACCTATTTTTCAGGAACTTAATGTGTGGCACTTTGTAAAGCTGAGCCTGATGGCTGGAGTCTGTGAGGTTTTGAAACTCCTGGCTGCTTTCTTTAAAAAACACTTTAAACAATACTCAGGGGATAAAATAAAAAATAAAGCACATTTTTCACACAGCAGAAATAAAGGCAGTCTGTCCTAATGTGAGTGTTACCTGCGCATTCTGGGTTGTCTTCATTGAAATTGATTGCAAAATCATGAGAGACCTACAGATAAAAGGAAAGAAGACGACTGTAGTCAGAAAAATTATTCCAAAAGGATTTGCAGTTAAATACCCTTTACATTCTTTCTGTGTTAACCAGACATCTTTCAAGCTTTCAGCCATTAAGTGTACGATATGGTGCCAGCTGGAACTCCCTGCAGAAACAAAGTAACAAAACTGGAATCAAACTTGTCAATAACAATAAAACCAAGGGAAAAAAAAAAAAGCACAAAGAAAAAACACTGAACTACATGAGAAATCACATAAATATGGTGTTGGGATTGGGCTATCAACACCAGCTGCAGAACAGGGGTCTATTGCTGAGGAGATTTAAATGCCAGCTCTCCCTAGCTCAGCATCTCAGATGGCAGGAGAGAGAAAGCAGGTTGTGATAGAGCTCTGACAGCACCAGCTCAGCCCCCTGCTGAATCCTCCATTCCCACGGGTGGGCAGTTCCTCATTTGAAGGCCGTAGGATTACTGGGAAAATAATTTATTCTCCAAAGAGATCAAGGAAGTCACTCAAACCCACTGTGAACTAATGTAAGAAACGTAAGGGGTCTAAGTTGGTTAAGAAATTAGATTAAGCTGGGGGGAAATTAATAAGAAAAACATGAAGACTCTTGTTTTTCCTCAAATTTAGTGAATATCCCATTCTCTCTCTCTCAATCTGTAAGAAAATTTTCTAAGACCTATTTTTTAAGGGGAATTACTGTGAATACAAAAAAAGTTGCTGATTTTCTAGTAAAACAATGTATTGTATCTCTAGCAGCTTGGGAAAGTCATACAAGGCTTCTGTATGTGCAAATAATGTGAGGCAATGTAAGTCTCGCGTTCCAGGCTTCCTCTATCTGTCTGTCACTTAGAGATCTGCATCCACAGTACAAATCTGTTGGGACTAAAACTTTCTTCAGATGGTCTTTTCTGGTTTTAAGGTTTGTTCTCGCCTGCATTTTTTCCAGATTCCTTTTTTGCTCCTATCTTTGATCACTGAGAAGGCTCGATTCCTTTTAATCTCTTCAGCTCTGAAGCTCAGTCTCTTAATTCTCCTGTTTGTCTTCAGTTGGCCTGAATGAAGCCCAACTTTTGTCTTGCAATGCACAACATATATATATATATTTTGGTTTGCAAAAAGTGGATATGGCTGAGAGTTAAGCAGGTGATTTGCATAATTTAAAGTTGAATTTAGGTGTATCATCCCAGACGCATGAAGGCATTTATATAGTTAACTCCAGTTACAGACCTTTGAGACTTTATAGATCTCTGGAGGACCTTTGGAAGTGCTAGCAGTCCTAGTCATATGGAAAGCAACCTGTTTACTCCCAGTACAATGGAATCTAGATTATTTGCAGAAAGAGATTTGCTTGTTGGATGTCGCTGTTTATTTGCTCGTTTAGATGACTTCACAGCACACCAATTGGTCTATGACTAATAGACCCATAGATCTAATATGTGATTACAGAGAAGCTTCTGTAAAAGTGAAGTGGTATAAGTTGGCTAATTACTGCCAAAGAGAGCTTCTCACAGAGAAATCGAATTTCCCCATCATATGCTGGCCTTGCTCACCACAGTAACGCCTAGCATTACTTATTAAGAGGTTAAATAAAGCAGGACTTCTACCATGATGGGAAAGGACCGAAACAAAAACTCACTGAAGAGCCTGCAGCCAGCTCAGCCCAGCCAGGAGTTTGCTGTCTACACCAACTATCAGCCATCTCTTACAAAGGGCTTTACGTGGGCCATTCGGACTGCCCTACTCAGCCATGGAAGATAATGCTGAAAGTCATGACGTATCTTCCTTGCTGAGCTCAGAAGAGCAGGGCTGTCAGATCTGCTTCAGAGGTGCTCCAGAGCTCTTCTCTCTGGCTGCTCCGTACGTCTCTTGGCACTCTTTGCCCAGCTGGTATCTGCCAGTCTCATGACCAGCTGCAGGCCAAAGGTAATTGCAGCTGTCAAGAACGGTTATGTGAGTTTTCACTCACTGATGATTTTTTTGTTGTTCAATAGCCTTTCTTCTTCCTTTAGGCTTTCTGTATTTTGTAGTAACTGCGTCTCAAAAGCAAGAAGGATGGCGATGCATGTTTATGTATTGCAGGCTGACTCTTTCAACACTGTGCCTCTTCGGTGATTTTATTTCTTTATTCCAAATACATTTGAAATCATAGCAAAAGGAGTATCACAATTCTTTCCCAGAGCTATGCAAACAGTATTTTAATCTCATATGCAAGCATGGGCTGGATGCTTTTGTTGCTATACCTCTTTCAGGATGACGCTATACACACAATTTATCTGGTTCAGAGCTATGGCACCAAGGCTATTATTAAAAAAAAATGTTGACAACTGTTCAGGCCAATAAGGAAATCCCAAGTCTAGTAAGCATGCACAATGATCCAAAAAATCCTATTGTCTGAGCAATGGCAAAGCAAGTGGCCCTCATACACTGTCATCCTGATTCACCAAGAACAGTGTTAAAATTTATCCTGAAGGCAGGACAGGAAACACAATGAATGCAGATGTATCTGGTTGTTTCCTGTGATCTCTGAACAATATATCACAATTTAAACAAGATTAAAGTACAATGTAAAGGAGACAAGTTCTTTGAGCAGCTCAGCGATGGTTCACAAACAGGAAATCATCACCTGAGGCAAGCCAACAGCTGATATTTTTAAAGCAGAGTTTCTCCAAATGCTCAGAACTCATTCCTCACTCGGGTGAGTAAAACCAGCTGGGATTCAAACTGTCCCTGTCCTGTCTCCCCTGTGGTGGTCAGACTTCAGTAGGGTCCAAACCAGCAGAGACTTCAGGCGCATGACATGTACTGAACGCCTTACTGAACTTGGGCTCCTACCTGATAGGACTGTATGTAAAGCCCACCCATGTCAGAAGGTGGTTCAGATCAATATTCAATGCTTTTGTTTTCAAAACAGTGCAAGGTAATAACCCTCCCTCCTTCCCCCCCCCCCCCCCCCTCTTTTTTTTTTTTTTTTTTTTTTTTTACTATTTTGTACATGCAAGGGCTTTTGTGACTGAAAGGCAAACCACATGGATGACAGAGGACCAAAAGCTGGCATCGTTTTGATATTGAATGTCACAGCTCTCATGCACTCCCGGAACTGATAAGATAATGGGGAGAAGGAGACAAAAGTGTGAACATCTAAGATGCTGAAGACTGGGAATCCTCAGGGGAAACATAACAAGACACTTGACTGTTCAGAAGCAAGCTTGTTTATACAATATACTAGGGTCATTTGTATGACGGATCAATCTAACAGCCAGGAAATCCTGGAATCTGTCACACCACGCAGACACAGAATGACTGCTATATGTTGGTACCTGGCACAGAGAATTTTGCACAGAACTGCAGACTGTGGTCCGTGGTGGAAGTTGGACTCATGATAAGGAACGTCCTTGCGGAACCGTGATTGTGCCACAGACCCTGGATTAAGTTTCAAATATGGAGCTGACCCTTTGCTCAGCTCTCCTCCTCTCTCTTAACATCAATCCATAAAACCAATCCATAAAGGGAAAGGAGAGAGCAGAGGTGATTACATACGATCAGTGTGGCATTACTGGGGCTGCTGCACAAAACACCACTCAAAGTCTCCAGCTAAGGACATTTACTTGCACTTGGCTATGTATTCATCTTTTCTCTCTGCTGGACCCCAGATAAATTATTTAGCAGATGCCACCACGGATGTGGGACTACTAAAACACAGCTGTCCAGGAACTTCCTGTACCTGGAACATATTATTTTTTCAGGTAATTTCTTCAAGGTTTTTAACAAGCAAAAGAAGTAACTCTACTATACATTGTGATGTAGCTTACCACACCAGCATTTCTTAGGATACATCAACTAAATAAATGGTCTAAAATATTTTTGCTGGGGCAAATTACAGTCATTTTTTTTTACCACTGTACAATGCCTCCACTGCCTGTACATACACAGTGACAAGCACCTGCATACAGAAGGCAGTTGTCCATAAATGTGATGGCGCCCATGAGACTCTTGCAGGAATCATAACCATACTTCCATGGGCTTATGATCAGTTTAATAAAAAAGTCACATTGACAGCAGGTAACTTATTTCCTTCATGATGGGATGTAATGAAATTCATCCTCATAGCATGGCCCTGGCTAAAAAGGTTTCTAATTAAGGCTGAAAGGTAAGGATGATTTCCTAATTAATGAGAATTTTTGAGATTTCTTTTTTAAAAAAAAGTCTTCTGGACTCAGATAGAAACTTTAAAACATAAACAAAAACCCTACCTTGGAATCTGACAAATAATAAAACTCCACAAAATCATAACGCAAATTGCTAGAAAGCTTTTGGACTATGCGAAGATGTTTTATTTACGTTCATGGAATCATAGAATCATAGAATGGTTTGGGTTGGAAGGGACCTCAAAGATCATCTAGTTCCAACCCCCCTGCTGCAGGCAGGGACACCCTCCACTAGACCACATTGCCCAAAGCCCCATCCAACCTGGCCTTAAACACTTCCAGGGAGGGGGCATCCACAACCTCTCTGGGCAACCTGTTCCAGTGCCTCACCACCCTCACAGTCAAGAATTTCTTTCTAACAACTAATCTAAATCGGCCCTCCTTCAGCTTCAACCCATTACCCCTTGTCCTGTCACTACACTCCCTGATAAACAGTCCCTCACCATCTTTCCTGTAGGCCCCTTCAGGTACTGGAAAGCCACAATTAGATCTCCCCGGAGCCGCCTTTTCTCCAGGCTGAACAACCCCAACTCTCTCAACCTGTCCTCATAGGAGAGGTGCTCCAGCCCTCTGATCAGCTTCATGGCCTTCCTCTGGACTCGCTCCAACAGCTCCATGTCTCTCCTGTGCTGGGGCCCCCAGAGCTGGACGCAGTACTCCAGGTGGGGTCTCACAAGAGCGGTGTAGAGGGGCAGGATCATCTCCCTCGACCTGTTGGTCACGCCTCTTTTGATGCAGCCCAGGACACAGTTGGCTTTAAGTTGCATCGAAACATGTTATTCTA